ATTTCATTATATTGATTAAAGGTAATTAAATTCTTGCAAAAAATTTAAAAAAATAATTCCATTTTTCTAAGAATTTACTTTAAATTGGATTAAAAATATTTGAAATCCTCAGAAAAATTTTATAATTTATGAAAATAATGTAATTCTTACAACGATTTTTATCAATTTTTTTTTAATAATTGAATTCATGTGAAAAATATTATTACTTTTAAAAATAATTGAATACCTGCAATAAATTTTATTACATTTTATTTAAATAATTAAATTCTATTGAGAACTTTTTTTAAAATAGTAAGTTTGGAAAATTTTTGAATTTCAACGAAGAATTTCATTATTTGTGAAATGTAATTTAATTCTTGCAAGAAATTTTTGAAGATAATTTAATTTTTCGAGAATTTCACTTAAAATTGTATTAAAAATAATTGAAATCCTGTGAAGAATTTTATTATAATTTATGGAAGAAAATTGAATTCTTGCAATCAATTAAAAGAAAATTTTTTTTTAATAATTGAAATAATGTAAAGAATCTTATTATTTGTGAAAATAATTGAATTCCTGCAACGAATTTTATTACATTTCTTTTAAAGAATTGAATTCTTTTGAGAACTTTTATTAAAATAGTAAATTTTGAAAACTTTTAAATTTCAACGATGAATTTCATTATTTGCGAAATGTAATTTAATTCTTGCAAGAAATTTTTGATAATTTTATTTTTCGAGAAATTTACTTAAAATTGTATTAAAAATAAAATAATTGAAACCCTGTGAAGAATTTTATTATTTATGAAAATAATTGAATTTTTGCAACGAATTGTATTAGAATTTTTGTAAATAATTTAATTTTTTTTGAAAAATTTTATGAAAATTAAAATTTTTATAAAACATGAAGATATAAATTGCTCCGAGTCGAAGACTCGGAGTGATTGATATCTTTATGTTTTATAATAATATTCTTATAAGTTGTTGAATTTTAAAAATATTTTAGGGTCAGGGAAAAAGTCAAAATTAGTCAGGAAAAAGTCTGGAAATCAGGGAAATGTCAGGGAAAAAGAAAATTAATTTTTTGTGGCAACCCTGTTTTTGTATAGGTAATAATTTATTCTGACATAGAAAACGATAATCAAAATTCGTATGCGATTCCTTTTTATCATATATACCGAAAGAGAAATGGAATATAGCAACAAAAAGAAAGAATGAAATCGGTAAAAAAAAGTTTGCGATATGTTTGAAAGTAAATATGAAAGTGTATTTAGTGTTTATTTGTTTCCTATAAGTGAACCTGTGCAAAAATGGCAATGGTCAGTTTTTCAAATGGGAATGCCAATCATGTACCTGACCTGCATCCATATTAAACATCGAGGACGACGCTGGGAGATTCCTTCTTGAATTTATGAATGTCGTCTGCTGTAAAGCGACCATGTGCACGTTTCCTGGTTGTAAAGGGAGATATATGAACCTTATGGGACAACGCACATTAAATACACAAGACTTTAACTTTGTGACCGTATACACAATAGCTTTAAGGCCTGTTGCAAATTCACCACAACTTCAATACTCACGTACGGTAATGCTTATATGGCACTGGCACTGTGCTAGTCTAGCATATAGCAGAAAACGAGAAATTAAATGAATAAAATGCAGGTAACGATTCAATAGAAGCTATATTGCTGCGGAGAAAAAAAAATCTAATGTTTACTGCTCAAAACGGAGTAAAAAAGAGGATGTTACGATCCTCGTAACATCCGAAGGAAAAAAATTAAGAAATAAAGTTGAAAATCGTTTAGATCTGAAAGAAAAAATGATTTTAGTTTTTATTTTTAAAATTGAGAAGTTTCAAAGTTAAGTTAAGTTAAGTTTCAAATTTAAAAATAAGCTAAGTCAAAACGTCAGGCCATTAAATAAAATTCTCAATGCTAAAATTAAGTCTAATCGTTCTTTTTGTAAACGATTTTAATCAGAAGTGCGCTGAGTGTAGAATTTCTTTTTTAATGAAATAATAATTCGAAAAAAAACCAGTAATTTAAGTTCTATTTTTCAAATATTCGCGCCAAATATTCTAGAGGCGCTGCTGTTGCTAATAACAGAAACTATGGCTCGACAAAATTAAATTCATCGCAGCGAATTTACATTAAATTTTAATCTGTAAATGATAAATGAAATAATAATTATTTATTAAAGTGTGTATAACTAACTTTCATGTGTTTGTCGATTTTAATATTAGAAATATATGTTTTTATTTCGAAATTTATCGAAATAATAATTGAGAATAAGTATTTTCAGCGCGCGACAATCAATTGTTGAAATGAGCTACTTGAAAATACACGAGACACTAACAATTAATGCCAATCAAATTTCATTATCGTGTCAGGAATGCAAAATTACTTTCCCGATTTGCCCAAAATCAATGAATATAAATAAGCATTGAAGTCTGCCATTGTGTGTGTGTGTGTGTAATGTGTATGTTTCAGGACAAAAATTATTTAATCTGTGTCACGACAGTATATTATTAAACACAAACGAAAATTTTTATTCAATTTCACAAAGTATAGACGTCCGATAATTTAAATTATCAAATTATTTTCAATTAAACTTATTTCATCGCATATCTAGAGAGAAATCATAATATCGTTAAAATTTCTCATTTAATTTAAAAATAAAGGAAATTCTGCTTACGAAATTAGTAAAATTATTGTTAATAAAATTTTGGTTCTAATTTTGAATTTTCATTTTTTTTAATTAAAATATTTTTTCATTGTAAATATTACAGTTTTTCTAAGGTTAACAAATTGAGACAAAAAACGAATCAAAATGTTAAATGTTAAATCAAAACTATAAATAGTAAATTATTGCAAAATTATTTTAAAAAACGTAAAATCTTTTTAGGGATTATTATTGAAAAATTGTTGAAAAGAATAATTAGATAACATTATTATAAAATTATTAAAAAAATATTAAAAAATTATTATAAAGTTATTAAAAAATTATTATAAAGTTATTTAAAAATATTTATTATTTATTATTATAAAGTTATTAAAAAATTATTATATAGTTATTAAAACATTATTATAAAATTATTTTTGCAAAATGAGAATAAAGTAATAATTATGTAATAACTATATAATAATTGTTTAATACTTTTATTGTTGAATTTGCGAAAATATAAACGAAATAAAATTTTTAATACGTCGGGAGGATTCGAACGCATGAGGGTTAGCCCGAAGCAAATTCACACCTTTAACGATCTCGGCTAAATTAGCAAACGGATAATTATGTTTTTAAACGATAATTCACAGTAAATTATAATTTTATTTTTGCGAAAATTTTACAGAATATTAAAAGGAATTAAAGTATCCTTTATTCCTTTAACAAAATTTTGACTAACTTTAAAATTTAAATTAATTTTTAATTAAAGTAAAAGCGTTTCTTTGTAACAAACACAATTTTTTCCCCATTGTTTATTTTTCTTTACCATTCACATTGATGTTAAATTTTCATTTTCATAATTAAATTTACAAAATGTGTAGAAAATGCAATGATAATTTTAACTTATTTCATTTTATTATTTGTCATTAATATTTATATGTATTTATTTACTTAATAATTTTAATAATTCAATTTAATAATTTTAATTTAATAATTATTTATTTAGGAATTTTAGTAATTTAAAATAATTTAATTTAATGCTTATTTATTTAATAATTTATAAATTAAGACAAATAAAACAAAAAATAATATTAATAATTTAATTAAATAAAAATTATTTTTTTATTTAATGAAAATATTTTCTTTGATTAAAAAAATTATTCACAAAAATAATTTTACTGAATTATTAATAAATTTTTGTTTATTCTTTATATATTAGATAAATAATTAATTTTCTGGTAAGCCGACAAAGAAATTAATGGTTTAAAAATATTTTTCCTTGAGAAGATGACTCGATAATGTTTAGTAATGCCAATTTTTTGATGACTAGATAAATTATAGATTTTTTTTTGTTATGAATCGATGGAGACATTTTTTGAAATCCGTTACATTGGTGGTCTTACGATCGATCTTGATCAATTTCGACATCAACATATTTATCGTCATTGACTTGCAATAATTTGAATTTGATTGTCTATGAAATGTTCGATATCATTTCTCTCTCAATATATAGAAAAAAAATTATCCGCGAAGTTAATATTAACACTTTTTTAACTTTGATGTTAATTTATAAATTATATTTAAAAAAATGTTTAAAAAAATATTTTTAAAAAAATTAAGAAAATATTTTTAAAAAAATTTTAAAAATATTTTTAAAAAAGTTAAAAAAAGTTAAAAAAGTTTTGATTCGATTTTCAAAAAAGACAATTATTTTATTTATTAAATTACCGTGGATGTCCCAATTTCCGTCCATGTCCTAGTAATCGTCAATTTTTTTGTAAAATTTCTTTTTTATTAATTATAATTTAACTAGTTGATTAAAATCTTTTTTTGATTTAATAAACAATTCACAATTATTTTAATTGAAAATATAGTAAAATTAATTAACAAATTAGATTTAGAAACAATTTTCCTAATTTATGTTCTCAAGTCTCAACACTATGAGAGATTTTCAGAATCTTTATTTAATTCAATAAACAAATTACCTACATTTATTTTTTTTTAATAAAAAATACAGTAAAATTAATAAACAAATGAAGTTTTTGAAACAATTTTTCAATTTTATATTCTCAACATTCTGAGAAACTTGCAGAATCTTTTTTTTTAAATTGAATAAACAATTTACAATTATTTTAATAAAAAATTCAGTAAAATTGATAAACAAATTAAGTTGAAGACAATTTTCCAAATTTGTATTCCAAAAGATTTGTAGAATCGTTTAATAATTCGAATTGTCACTAATTTTCCAATTTTTACCATACCGTTTGGTAACTATTGTACGATAAATCAAATTTTCAAAAACTGAGAATTCTTCCACTCGCGAAATTAAATTTTTTTTTTTTACATTAAATTACTCACCGCTGTGATTCTCTAATTTGAATCCAGTAGAAAAGAAATTTCCAATTTTCGCTTCTGGTAAATCAGCACACAGAAAAAAAAACTTCTCTCTCTCTCTCTTTAATCCTTTAATAATTTTTCATTCACAGACATTTTTTCACATGAAAATTGTTAAACCAATTTTTTAAATTATTCTTCGGAAATGGTTTTAATTTTTTTAACTTAAAAAACTAGTGGTTTGAAAAGCACTAAGATTCCTTGTAAGAATTCCTTTAATTTAAAAAAAATGAGTAAATAAATAAATTATCACTATAGTGGGTAAAAATGTGCGTTTTTTTTCGTATTTAAAGGGAGAAAATTCACTTCTTTTTATTTAGCGGAGAAACAAAAAGTGGAATCAAAAGAGTAACAACAGTTGGTTGGCAAATGTGCGTATAGCTCAAAGCTCAGTAGAGAACTGAACTCAGTAGTGCCATGCCGGCCGGCTGACTGACGAGCGAGTTTCCGAGTCGCTTAAACCAATCGGAACTTCCTATCGCTCCACGTGCATGCGGAGAAACATTCAATGCATTTTCTTTATAATTTCACGCTTGCATTTGCGAATCTGTGATATTTTTTTTTTTTTATTATTTTCACTCCTCTCATTTTCCCTTTCTCTCATAATAATTTACTATAATACATATATGGTTATAACTATTTCAATTCATTCGTATTTTTCGTATTTATAATTTAATTTTACCTTTTTTATTGAAATTTTCGAAATTCATTTGTAAATGAAATCTATAATTATTTCAATTCATTACTATTTTTATAATTTAAATTTAATTTTTTATATTGCTAATTTCGAAATTTGGCATTTGGTGAATTATTTGTAAAATTCAAAATGGCGGATCCAATATGGAGGAAGATTTACGCGTTTCATGTTCTTTCGAAATTTAGTATTTATTTATTTAATTTATATATTTATTATTTTAGTTTTTATGTCATAAAATCTACTATTTACTACTTTTTTAAAAAATATAAATAACAGTATTTGCAAAGTTTTTTTTATTTGATAAAATAAACGACACTTTATTTTTCTATTTTTTAAAGAATTTTCACATTTAAATTCACTGGAAGATGAAATGAAAAAATTATTCTCAAAATTTTTTTATCAAATTCTTAGAAACGATTTTAATTGTTTAAAAGCATTTTTATAAAATTCATCGCTAGAATTGAATTATTTTCAAAAATTTTACACAGAAATTCTTATTTTAATATTATAATAATATTATAAGAATAATTTAAATAATTATTATTAAAATAAAAATAATAAATAATTATTATTAATTAAATTATAATAAAATATCTAACTAATTATTATTAATTGAATAATAATACTTAACAAAAATTCTCCGAAAGAATTCCACTATTTTTAAAAAATTTAATGAAATTCTCCGAAGAAATTCAATTATTTTCGAAGATTTCCATATAATTCTTTATAAAAATTCAATTATTTTCCATATAATTTTAATTCAATTATTTTCAATATAATTTTAATTAAATTTCTTGAAAGAATTTTAAAATAATATTTTTCGCAAAAACTCAATTATTCTCAAAAATTGCAATACAATTCTTTAGTAAAACTTCAATTATCTTGATAATTAACCAAATTCTTCGGAGAAATTCAATTATTTTTAAAAAATGAAAGGAGATTCTTCGAAAGAATTCAATTATCTTTACAAAATGGAATGAAATTCTCCGAAAGAATTCAATTATTTTTTAAAAAATTGTAATGAAATTCTCCTTAAGAATTCAATTATTTCCGAAAATTTCAATAAAATTCTTCATAAAAATTCAATTATTTTTTTAAATTGAATTTCTTAAATAAGAATTTTAATATAATTTATCGCAGAAATTCCATTATTCTCAAAAATTGTAATACAATTCTTTAGTAAAAATTCAATTATTTTTAAAAAATGAAAGGAAATTTTCCGAAAGAATTCAATTATTTGTAATAAAATGGAATGAAATTCTACGAAAGAATTGGATTATTTTCTAAAAAATTGTAATGAAATTCTCCTTAAGAATTCAAATATTTTCGAAAATTTCAATAAAATTTCAATTATTTTTTTTAATTGAATTTCTTGAATAAGAAATTTAATAAAATTTATCGCAGAAATTCAATTATTCTCAAAAATTTTAATACAATTCTTTAGAAAAAATCCAATTATCTTAATAATTAATAACATTCTTCGGAGAAATTCAATTATTTTGAAAAAAAATGCAAAGAAATTCTCCGTAAGAATTCAATTATTTTCAAAAATTTTAATCAAATTAAAAGAAAGAATTCAATTATTTTCCAAAATTTTCATAAAATTCTTTATGAAAATTCAATTTTAATAAGAAATATTCAATTATTCAATAAATTATTTATTTTTATATTTAAATAATTGAATTCTCGTGTAGAACTTTCTAGTAAAAATTGATTAAAAAATGAGTTTCTGTTAAAATCTTAGATAAAAATTGAATATTAGAAGCGTTATAGTCCTTATTTTTTTTTTTTAGAAATAATTGAATTTCAATAGATTTTTAAATTTAAATTTTTGAAAAACTGTAATAATTAAAATTTTTAGTGTGAAAAATTATTATTTTATTATTTTTTAATAAATAATTAAACTTTTGAATAATATTATTTAAAAGTTCTTAAAAATAATTGAATTTTGGAAGAATCAGTTGCAATTTTTAGAAATTGTTAAATTTCTAAAAGATCTTACAATAGAAATTATATAAAATATTTTAATTCCTGTGGAAATATAAACATTTAATTATTTATTCAACAAAAATTATTCAAGTTTTGAATGTAATTTAATTTGGAATTTATGAAAAAAATTCGTCTTTTTGAAAATTAATTATCGAGTTCGAAGCCTGAGTGAACAAAAAATTGGATTAAAAGTAAATTTTCTAAAATTGACAAATTAAATATTTATTTTAATAAATTAATTTAATTTACTAAATAATTAATTATAATTAAATTTACAAAATTGACTTTTAATTTTTAATTTTTTTAATTTTGAAAATTTTTTTAGTTTTTTTTTTATTTTACTTTTTTTGTTTGAATCTTAATAAAATTAAAAGTAAAAATAAATTCGTCCTCTAGTTTCTAAAATGAAATTTTTCTCTCCGTTTTTTTTTTTAAAGATTAAAACGAAATTAGGAAACAGCGTCTCATCCCGATAATGATAGTAAATTATAAAGCCATACTTCTCACTTTCTACAAAGAAAGGAAAAACTATTTACATCTGAACGCAATTTTTATTGATAACAAGTATATCGGGACAATCATTTCCGACATTAGTGAAAGTGTCTTTTGAATTATAATTTTATCCATATTATCATGAATTTTCCATAATTTTCCAAATTATATCGTCAGAATGCAATAAACACCATATGCGCCTGTATATATTATACATTTATATGGAAATTGAAAGCGTTCGATTGGTAGCAATTAATTTTCTCCAATCTGTCAGTTATTTCGCTTATCTCGCAATTTCAGAATGGGGAAGCGACTTTCATCGTTAAGACTGTGATACAGAAAGCAAAAAAAAAAAAAAAAAAAGAAAAGAAAAAGATGAAGAAAAATATTGTAAGGGAAAGTGTAATTCTTTCCCTCCGGCCCCCTTGCAATTATATATTTGTTTTAGTCTTAAAAAAAGGGGAAAAAGATCGAGGAATGCGAATTAATTTCAAATATTTACTATAGAAAATTTTTTATTTCAATGTATTTATATTTGAGAAAAAAAAAGACTTTAATGGTTGTGCATTAACGTTTTATAGATTCTAGGAGTCATTTTTATTGCTGAATATAATATCAGAGGCTGAATGATAAATTATAAATATTGAATTAGAATGAAAAGCCTCTTTTTTTAAAACGAAAATAAAAAATTTAAAAAACAATATCTTTCGAATTTTTTTCTATTTTGGGGAGAAAAAAATGTTTTTTTTTATATTTTTAAAATTTATTGTCAAAATTTTGAATTATGAGCAAAGTATGGCGAACTGTGGAAAGAAGAAAAGATATTTTTTATATTTTCAAACTGTCAGGGTTGCCACAAGTCAGGGCAGTCAGGGAAAAGTCAGGGATTTTTATTAAAAGTACTGGAAAAAATTTAATTTTTAGAATTTATAAAAAAATACTGAATTTTTGTGTCTTTTTTCTTTGAATATAAATAGAAATTTTAAGAAGAACTGATTACAGAAATTCAATTATTTTCAAAAGTGACAAACTTCTTGGCATAAATTCAATTTTGTTGAAAAATGTTTGAAAATCCTTGTAAAAATTTCAATTATCTTTATAAATAATATAAAATTCTTCTCCTAAATTCAATTATTTTGAAAAATTTTAATAAAATTCTTAACGAAATTTCAATTATTTTTAATATCTACTAATTTAATAAAATTTTCCAAAAGAATTGTATTATTTAAACAAAATTTTAATAAAAATTTAACAGCTATTCAATTACTTACCAATTTTTTTTTATAAATTTCTTCGCACCAATTCAATTATTTTTAATTTTTCAATTCAGAGAATTGACAAAAATAGTTCTAAGAAATTCAATTATTTCGAAAAATTTAAATAAAATTATTTTAAAAGTTCTATTATTTTAAAAAAATTTTGACAAAATTCTTTACAAGATTTAGTTAATAAATTTAATAAAATTGCAATTTTAATAAAATTTTCCTATACAATTCAATTATTTTCAATATACAATTCTTCTTAAGAATTCAATTATTTGCACAGATAATACATTTTTTTTATGGGAATTCAATTATTTAAAAAAATTGGAATAAAATTCTTCGCTAGAAATCAATTATTTTCATAAATAATAAAATTTTTCTTGAGAATTCATTTATTTTCAAAAATTTTGATAAAATACTTTATAAATTTAAAAAATGATAATAAAATTGGTCATAGAATACAATTATTTTCGTAAAATACAACATTCTTCCTAGGAATACAATTATTGGCAAAAATCTTTGCAAAAATTTTCGAAACAATTCAATTATTTAAGAAATTTTAATAAAATTCTTTTCAAAAATAAACATTTTCACAGGAATTGAATTATTTAAAAAAAAATGTTTTTTTTTATTCTTTGTCAGATTTTAATTATTTTCAATTATTTTCAATGAAATTTAATTAAAATTATTTTTAAAAAGTATTAAAAAATTCTGAAAAATTCAACTATTTAAAAAAAGTTTAATAAAATTCTTTTCAAAAATAAACATTTTCACAGGAATTCAATTATTCAAAAAAAAATGTTTTTTCTTTTTTTTAAATCTTTGCTAGATTTCAATTATTTTTATGAAATTTAATTAAAATTATTATTTTCAAAAAGTTTTTAAAAATTCTGAAAAATTCAACTATTTAAAAAAATTTGAATAAAATTCTTCACAAGAAATGAATATTATTTTCATAAATAATAATATT